CCGGAGGTATAGGGGTGGTGGAGGTGGGGGTAGGTTAGTTATTTTATAGTAGAATTAAATATTAATAATAAATTAATTTAGTAATTATTATTTTATAATTAAAAATTTAAAAAAACCTGAATTTTGAAATTTGAAACATGTTTTGAGATTTTTGAAATAGGTAAAAGTAAAAGCATGATTTATGTAATCTTCCATTTTTTTAATAAAAAAACAAAAGTAAATCAATAAAATCGGTGACGCTCATTATTGTCCATTTTTTCCGATTTTTAATTCTAGTGGTTTTTATGTCATAACCGAACCGGTTTGATAAGTGGTTTCCAATTTTTTCGATTGAAACGATCGATTCGGTTCGATTTTAACATTGATTCGTTTTAACATTGGTAAATAGGGTGGAAGGACGGAAGAAATAGTAATGCCACAATTAAATCAATTCATTCGTTACGATAGAAAAGAAAAATTGTGCATGAACCGTGCTCGAACTTCAATTAAGGTTCCCAGAAGGAATGAGTATGCACACGTATATCTACGAGAACACCGAAAAAGAAAAAAAAAACCCTAATTCAGCTCTCTACGTATAATAGTCAAAATATAGTTGAGCAATGAACCATTAATTAAAAATTATTTTTATATTTGATGTTGATTGTGGGATACTTCAATCCAAATCAACAATTTGGTCAAAATTCAATTAATGCATTTCGAGTCTACCAAGACAATTTGATCGACAGTCAACTACGTATACCCATTTGCTATGAGTTGAATTTTGCTCAGGAAAATAACAATAAATTAAATTTTATTTTTAAAATATTGGACTAACGTATAATAATACAATCTCTCTCTCTCACACACACACACACACTTATACTATGGAAAAGGAACCGGATTGGTTTTGATCCGATCCATTTCTTTTACGCTTCAAAAATAAATTGTCAATTGCTATATATTTTTTTGGGAAAAATACAAAAATCAGGTATTAACTTTGACACAATTCAATTTTCAGGTGTCGAGTTTCAAAATGCAAAACTCAGGTATTTATTTATTAATTAAAAATATTTTTATTAATTAATTATTTAATATTTAATTTTAATATAATATAATTAACTCACCCCACCTACACCACCCCTGTCGTTCCGGCCACCACT